CTGGATAGGTATGGACTATTTTGAAGTACTTTTGTTTCTCCTTATAATTAATTATAAGAAGCACATAAATGCAACCAATAAAGTTTTGTTTATTTATTTTATTCTTTGAAATAAAATATGTAATTTGAAAAAAAGATTTCAAGGCTTTTTAATGTTGCTTCTAATCAATATCCACCTACTTTTAGTACTAACTATAACTATAATTATTACCCACACTTAAACACAATTTAATACACTCAATTCAAAAACCCAGAAAAAGACAGTATAAAAAATCAATAGAGGAAGTAAATTCTTCTAGAAAAAGTGTTTTTCGAATAACTCACAGACATAATAAAATAATTTAATTTTGCAATATTATAATTACAAACTCTTTATTGGCAGTTATGCACTTTTTAAAATGAGGCCATGTAGTTATTTACCTTATCCAAGTCACAAATGTACATACCTGAAACAAAATAGTACATTATTAGAAATTAGGTAAATAAGGAAATTATTAGAAGAATTTATAGTTAACGCTAAACTATTAGTTAAGATAACACGCACAGATTCAAGTGTTATAGACCACTTCCCCTAGCATGAGCATGCACAATTTACATTATATCACGTTTTTATCACGTAATTTAACAATGGAGCGTGATAAAAACGCGTTATGTATCGTATCGCGTTGCCCATGGTAGGGGAGCTTGACATGTATAACATACGTTATAAATTTTCTACCTTAATACAAGATTAATTTCAACGATTCTGTTAGTAACCTTACCTTTATCCAATAATCTAATCCAATAGAATTAGAATAGAATAAATTAATATTATTAGGATTAAGACGTTGATAATGAAAATAAAGTTAATAAAACACAAATAGCAAGATAGAATAATTTAAATTTCTTAATTATAACAATAGGGATGATGACTAATTTTTTTTTCTTCGTTTATCAGGTAGATTTTCAAAAAGTATTGGACACGTATTTTTTCTTTTTTCACATAATATAAACATTGCAGAGATATATTGATTTGAAAAGTCGCATGACGTCACGTTTGAGTACACTTATAAGCGAAAATTCACTCAAAAGTGACGTCACGATCCCCTACTCCCAAACTTTGACGCGCTATAACTTTGAATTTTTTGGTTGATTGCCCAAAGAAAAAATACGTGTCCATTATTTTTTGATCATCTAACTGAAGCACTAAATAGAATTTCGTTTACTGTACCCCGTCATCACCCCTATTACACTTGTATGTCTCAATAGCATTAAACAGCGTTCTCATATTTGACTGACATAATCGTGTACTTATGTATGTATTGTATATATGTATGTGTGTGTTTGTATGTATGTATATATATGTGTATAATATGTATGTATTCTGTTAAGAGTATTTGTATCATAGGTTTATCTTAAATTTGTCTTTATTGCGCCCCCGTCATATTTTTTTTTCTCACGCTCTTACTGGTCGACTGGTAGAGAATGCCTTATGACATTATGTCCGCCATTTGCTTTGTAATTTTGCAATAAAGTTTAAATAAAATAAATAAATAATTACATCATACTATGAGTTTTATTTTATTTACTTGCCTTCATGTTCGAAACGACACAAACTAGTATATAGTAACATTGCTAATTAATAAAATAAAATTTATAACGGCACAGTTTTTCAAAGTATTGTTTTATTAATGTTTTGGAATTTCGTGTATCCAGTTTAAAAGCCAAAATAAGTCTAATATAAATGAAAATTAACATTGTTGAATTAATTAATATACTGATACTGTTAGCTATAAAACTAAGGACTAAGTGCAATGCTATAGTTGTTTAACATTGATTGTATTATGTTTATTTTGCTGATTACCGATATCTTAATATATAAATAAACACCACCATATAATAATCAAAACAAGCACTTATCTTTATCCTTTGCTCAAAACATTATGAAAACAGGTTATACATATATTTTTATATACCTTTGCATATCTCTATAAGAAATGTACCTGGTTTTGAAATCTCAAGTCATATGTTTGGACGTGTACGTTTACTTGAACATTATTTTATTGTAATTACGAACAATGTTTCAAGTTATTACACAATGATACATATACAACTTAAAATTAGTACTTAGAATTCGCATTTATAAATTTTAAAAGAAACTTCAGTTGCGCAACTTTGCCACGGACGCGCCTCGCGAAACAGTATGAATCACACCATTTAAATTCTGGCCACAACAATACTAGCCTTAAACTCATTACATGCATAGCCAATGGAAGCATTCGTAGAAACCAAGCCACGTTTTCAATGGCCAGCCGTTAGATGGGCGACTATAAATGGAAACTGCGTTTTTTTTTGTTGTGTACAAATTTTCGGCGATAACAGGATAATTCAGATCGAACTTCACTTTGGTATGTTCGTTTGATCATACAATAATAGATGTTAATCTGTTTTCCTCAAATTCTATGATGTCCTTTCACTAACACCGTATTGTCGGGCACCATAATTTTTTTTTGTTTTTAAACTCTTTCCACTCTTTTGGCTTCATAATAGACTTGCAACGAATATTCGGTTACTATTCGGTATTCGGCCTAATCGGCTTCTTTTATTATATTCGGCCGAATACCGAATATCTACATATTATTCGGCCGAATACCGAATACTTAAATAATATAGGTATTTTGTCATAGAGAAATTGGTAAAATTAAAAATTAAAATCGATTGTTTGCCTATATATTCATATTTTCATTTCTGTTATATAATCATTTAAGTAGTCATTGGTACATAACACAGGTACATAATCATCTTCTGAATTGTAAAAATGGAGGATTCTATGTATTTGAATTATTGTGGTAATCAAAATTTAGAAGGGTAAGGTTCTCATTTCTTTTATTAAGTAGTCATTGGTATATAAAACAGGTACATAATTTAATCATTTTCTGTATTAAACAAGTTAACAGTTTTTAATTCATTCAGTCATGTGATGAATGGTTACATAATAGCAATAATTTAAAGTTAACGCGCCGTTTTTGGCCATATCTCCAAAGTTGGTTTTGTCATTTAGCCGAATTTTAACTTGAGGACGGCAGATTAGAACAAAACAAAGGAGCGCGAAACAATCACGTCTGTACAAGTTTTTGGCGCTAAAATCCAGCCGAATACTTTTGCCTAATATTCGGCTATTCGGTCAGGGGCCTCGCCGAATATTCGGTATTCGGTATACTGCCGAATATACTATTCGTTGCAAGTCTACTTCATAATAATGGGAAAGAAAATAGATCGCTCCAAATTGATAACACGAATATTCCAAAGGAATGTGCTATCGAAAGCAGAATCAAACTTACTACTCATTCTTTGTCGACCTACAAAGAAAGGCCTGGGGCTTAATTTGACCCAGACTAGTAGTTGTGTGCGATGTTGATGATCTATGTCCTACTTTTAAAGCAAAGTGAGTGTTATGAATTCATGTTTGTATACTGAGTACTATCATCATTAAGCCAGATGAGCGTGGCGACCTTTAAGAGGAAAATTTCTTTGCTTTCCTTTGCCTTTTGCATGTTGTCTTTGCGATGGATGGAATTTAATAGCCACTAAGACTTTACTAAAAAGTACACTTAAAAACCGGCCCAGTGCGAGTCGGAATCGCGCACGAAGGGTTCCCTACCAATATCTATTTAGCGTTATACACGCTTCTAATTTGGCAATACGAAAGTCAGGTGATTGCCCGGCTTGCACTCAGTCGGGTACGCTCTTTCATTTCGCTTTGCATTTTCAGAGACTTGTCATTTAATACTTAGTTTCTCTCTTTTTTATCTAACTACAAACCGCGTCTTTATTTTATACAAGTTAAAATTAAAGATTATTATCTTTAAGTAAATATTTATGATCTCCTCATTTCAATCACACTTCACTTTGCCATTGACCATATCCCAATACTTAACCATGAACTCGAACATGTGGCCAATTTTTATTCAATTACAAGTTAACAACCAAGATCTATACCATCAATCATAAACCGGATACACAAAGAAAAAATGTTTGTCTTACATTGCTGCTACTATTTGAGCTGTACTTCTTCTGTGGCGTATGTAAAAAGATGTGTATAATGAACGCAGCGGCGCGGTCATATTTACTCGATGATTGCAGGCCATGGACAGGTAGTGTCGGTTTTGCAGGGTCAAGTCGATGCTATAATTATGGGTCACTAGCTGTGTCCCGCGGTATTACTTGCGGTTGATTAGGGATACTTCCCGCATTAAAACGTAGCCTATGTGTTAATCTAGGTTTGAGCTAACTCCATTCCAAATTTTATTAAAATCGCTCCAGCCGTTTAGACGTGAAGAAGTAACAAAAATACACACTCACAAACTTTCGCCTTTAATATAATATTAGTGTGATTTTTCCGGAATTCTATGGATTGAATGTATAGCTGTAGGCAAAGCAAGTACTATATAAGGCATACCTAATATTATGACAACTTATCCATTTTTTTAAACTTAAGCTAACCCAAAAAGTTCATGTTAAAAGTAATAAACTGACAATACTAATGATAATTTATTCTCTATCAGACAAACCAAATAATGTCGGAAAAACTTCCATTTTTATAAACGCAAATACAGCTGTTGAAACAGACGCATACGCGCCTTATTACAAAACGGAGACTAAAGTTAATCCTGGTCTTAAACTGAAGATGTCACTTTAGTTTGCTAAAAAAAGAAAATGGCAACATAAGGTTTAACTTCAGTCCGCGTTTTGAAATAAGTAAGGTTAGGTTTTAAACACTGAACCAAAACAACGCATATAGAATAAACATAATTTTATCAGTATTAAAATAAACAACTTAAGCATATTTCTTTCTTAAGGTTTCACGCACACCACTCATTAAATATTCGAAAGTAGCTGGCCAAAGTAAATAAAAATCATAATTCTGACGACGCAGCCTTAGAAGGATGCCAAATGTTATCGCCAGCATTAAAATATCGGCAGTTGACATTGACGTTACATCCGACAGCTGTCACATTGGCGCTAGTGGACTTGGCGCGCGATTTTCCCTCTAACACGTATTTTTCCAACGGCAACGGTGACATGTGACAGTGAGCTCGGCAGTCGCACCACTTCTTGCTGAGCAGTCGAAGAGTGCAAACGGAATACTGGGTTATAATTGTGTATTTCTAATTATGTGATCACTGTAAAGGTTTAAGTATTGTGCACATTATTTTTGATTATTATAATATTTATTGATTGAAAAAGAAACTTGCTCATAGTGATTATTAGTATGTTATTGATGTTAAGCAATTGAATAGGGTATTTGACAGTATTAAAAATAAAGTGCCAATTGTTAACATCTGTGTTTAGATTGAATATTGGCAGGGGTTTTTACTATTTTTACAAATTAAATATTCATAAGTTTACTAAAAACCCTCGAAAAAGATAATAGTTTTCTTATCTATTGTCACGTGACCCAAAACGCTAGGGATTGGCGGAGCCTAAAATGACGTCACACGCAAGTAAACTTCCGGTTAAAGTGTCATTACATTGTATCGTTTGACGTTTTAATAGCAGTCGTGTGACGTCACACGCTAGTAAGACGCCATATTGTCCAGAGAAACGTTTTCGCTGCAACTTGAAAATGGAGTTTTTTATTTGGTTATTTTTACTGAAATATACGACAGAATGATGAATATCTTACGGACTCCATAAACATAAGTCAGTAACGTGAGATCGTTGCCTAAAACTTGTCAAATACCCTATTAGCTAATAGTTGAATAAGTATCATGAAGTTGAAAAGTTATTATATTGTTACTTGATGAAATAATTATTGCAAATAATGTTAATAGTCTGTACGTTGGATAAGGGAATGATTTATAAATAAATCTGTGAATAACGGTATTTTCTTTTATTAGAAACGCTAAGTAACAAATAAATTTACGCATATAAACCGTTAAAGCTTTGTTTTATTTATTGAGTTAAACATGATTCTGTAATGTGGGGTAGGAAATAGTATGTATCCCACATTCACTATTATCACCATTATTTTCCATTTTTATTTGTCTGTGAGATATCTTAATTTAGCCACCATAATAGACAGGACATATTGTTTCACGAGAGGCACAGTAAGCGAATAAAAAATTGAGTCTTACAGAATATGACGCTTTGCGCTAAAACAACATGCATGATTCAGAACAGGTTTGTGCGTTGATGGCGGCTCCTGCGCCGGCTAACCTGCCAGTACCGTTACAAGTGATTCATCCTGGGTCACAAGGCTTTGGTTTGGACCGCTTTTGCATGTTAATTTAAACGCATCAACCATAGTTTTCAGAGTTTCGTAACATAAGGGTGTGAAACGTAACCTTTTAACTAAACCTTCGCTGTCTATTGCTCCGTCTGTATCTCATAAACCGTGTTAGATGACTAGAATATACACATATTCTATTAATGAATACTAGCAAACCAGTGAACCAAATGTTCACCAAAACCTGATTTAAAAAAAAATGTATTTAATTAATTGAGAACTTCGGGGATTTTGTGTGGTTTCGTTTGAAATTCGTGATTTCTCGAAAACCGGAAGTGCTACGTTACTCAAATCCGGTTTGTAGTCTTATCAGACTATTCTTAACTTATAACTTAAATATCTCTTACGGTTTGGCCGCTGAAACAGCACCACAGACGGATGGACGGACTTGTCTAATAGATAAGAGATATATATTTATATATATGTGTGTATTTGTATTTATACATATATGTATAGTGATATTTTATTTATATATAATGTATGTTTATTGTTTTATAGTATAATATAGTTCAGTAGGATATTTTTTTTTTCTCCAACTTCAGTAGCTTACACTCTATCAGCAAAAATTTCCGTCTCATACACCCATACTGGTTCACTGGTAGAGAATACCTATAGCATTAAGTCCGCCATTAACTGTATTTTGGTAATAAAGAATAAATAAATATTCTGTGAAAATTTTCACTAGACAGTTGACTGAAGAGTTGACGCGAAAATCAAAACCTAAATCCGAAAATGTCATAGTGCCCATGCAAAAATCATTATACGTATTATATTTTTATAATTCAAAAATACCCAATACTTTATGTCTGTCCCATAATGGTACATTGGTATTGATGACCATAGATCTTGACGGAACGCACAGCAAAAAGAAAATTAGGCGTTTTAGCTTAATAATAAATTACAATTTTATTTTTAAGCATTCAACTACTACTTATATGTTTAAATATATAAATTTTACTTACACAATTGCCAAAGTAAGAACAAAGAACTGTTAATTTGTCCCAAAAAAAAAACATCGTGTTTTACTCAGGTTAAAGAAAGACTAGCAAACCAGTGAACCAAATGTTCACCAAAACCGGATTTCTCGAAAACCGGAAGTGCTACGTTACTCAAATCCGGTTTGTAGTCTTATCAGACTATTCTTAACTTATAACTTAAATATTCTCTTTATCTATCTCTTACGGTTTGGCCGCTGAAATAGCACCAGAGACAGACGGACAGACTTGTCCAATAGATAAGAGATCCTTTTCAGGATGCGATAATTCAGACGACGCATCCTGAATAGGATGTAAAACTCAAATAAATAAATAAATCAATTCATCGATACCGTTGAAACTTGATTTATTTAATGAGTCATCATCATCAGCCTATTAATGTCCCCACTGCTGGGGCACAGGCCTTCTCTATGAATGGAATAGGAAGATTGGCCATGACCCACCACGCGGACCCAGTGCGGATTGATGGGTGCTAACGACTGCAGATGTAACCAGGACCAACGGCTTAACGTGCCTTCCGAAGCACGGAGGAGCTCGAGATAGTAAATTTTTGGTCACCCATCCAATGACCGACCACTGCGAAAGTTGCTTAACTTCAACGACCGCAGCCGAACGCGCTAACCACTTGCGCCATCGAGCTCCTCATTTATTTAATGAGTGGTGTGCGCGAAATCCTAAGAAACAAAAAGATTAATTATAGTTAGATTTACAATCAAAACTCATCAATACTCTAAATGTGAAACGAAATCTCGTTAAAATCCTCAACACTGCTTTTGAATCATGCATGATGCTATACTAAGAGATTTAATAATACAAATGTATTTGATACTAGTCTAGCATTCTGATGAGTTAGTAAGTACCGCAAAAAAGACATTACTATTAGTAACAGACAGACAGAACGCTCCCATCAATAAACCGAAAACTGTTAGCTAATAAATCTTCTAGTAAACGCTGTGAGTTAATGAGTATAATAAAACTGACAAACACCTGAGTCACGTAATGGAACACATTATAACAGATAAGCGGTAAAGCAATAAATGTCGAAATGTAATCAGTAATTTGCGACACCATTGCGATTTCCTTTATCGATCGATTCATTGGAACCAATATAAGTACACAGATTGCAAACCCACGACAACGGCTAACCCCCAAAACAACGGCTAACTAGAGCCGAGATCCGAGTCTCAGAGACGCCCTCTAGTTGAGCTGACCCCGTCAGGTTCGAGTGGTCTACAGATTCCAGACGGAGAGGAGACTGCCCCCGCGGGGAGATGCCATCCACCTGGAATACCTCTAGAGGCACTTCTCGGGTGTTTTTCCCCTCCCCCCACGACAACGGCTAATTAGAGCCGAGGACCGAGTCTCAGAAACGCCCTCTAGATGAGCCGACCCCCCAAGGTTCGAGTGGTCTAGAGGCTCCAGACGGAGAGGAGACTCCCCCCGCGGGGAGATGCCATCCGCCTGGAATACCTCTAGAGGCACTCGCCAATTCTCGGGTGTTTTTCCCCTCCCCCCACGACAACGGCTAACTAGAGCCGAGGACAGAGTCTCAGAGACGCCCTCTAGATGAGTCGACCCCCCAAGGCTCGAGTGGTCTAGAGGCTCCAGACGGAGAGGAGACTCCCCCCGCGGGGAGATGCCATCCACTTGGAATACCTCTAGAGGCACTCGCCAATTCTCGGCTTGAGGTTTCCCTTGGGATCTCGCCGTCCCCAAACCCGGTGACCCTGTCATCTACGACCAAAAGAAATTTTCTTGTAACGCCCGCAGCGTTACAGCCTCTTTGTTTGTCAAGTGCCTAGGGCTAATAGTCATATGAAAAATGATTTTAAATTCGAGTACCTTATGTCTCGATTCGATGTTTATGAGATAGAAAACGGGCGTAGATATTATAGAAACATTGTGATACTTATGTGATAATTCACTGAAATATAATACAAGAGGTGATATGTGTTTTCTTTTGAGCTGCGTTTCCCAAGATTTCCTTCTGGAATCCTTACTTACAGTAACTACCGAATGTGACAATTAAAACTTTTTTGTGATAGCAAGGAAAAGACTTCAACGCAATCACGACGCGAAAGCTAAAATAATGTTACCCTATAATAATCTAAATAATAACAATAATATAATGTTATATGATGGTATCCTTCTAATAATAGAAATGTGAAAGTTGTATATTTGTGTGTTTTCTATATTTGTATGTTTGTTACTTAATCACAAAAAAACTACTGAATAGATTTGATGAATGGATTGAGACATGGGATACTTTTTATCCCGGAAAAGTGTCAAGTTTCTGTGGAATTCTCAAAAAATTAAAGATCTAAATAAATAATATCTAAAAAATATGATTTTGATCAAACTAATCAATAATTTTAACCTTACATTATATTCATTTAAAAATTATATAATTTAAAACAATAAGAGGTCGCACGGAAACCATGAATATCGTTTGTTACACATACAACTTCATTTGGACGTGAAATAAAAAAATTGGTGTTGCAGATTTCGACTGCAACCCGCAGCCTCCTTACGTCATCGTAATAAGATTATGTCGCAAGCTTTAATAAGGTTATTATTACATCTGCGAAGTGTATGTAGAAATACTCATGTCTTTGTAGAAAAGATTATATACCTAGTTGTTTATTTAACATTTATAACCCATTCTTTGCGAATAGTACGACAGGCGTGTAATCAATATATTTTCATCAACGCATGACTTGTGAATGACACAAGAGGCGTGTCATTTTTAATTCGATTGTAACTCCCTCAAATTAAAGTCAAACTCAAACTCATTTATTCAGTCTAGGCTGTTACAAGCTCTTGTGAAAGTCAAA